ATACTTTCGGCAGCGAAACAAGGCGGATTTTTGCCGATTCTACCAATGCTGGGCGCGCTCGGATCTCTGGTTGGCGGAGCGGCTGGCGTAGCAAAAGCGGTGAACGACAGAAAATCCGCGCAACGTCAGTTGCAAGAGATACTACGCCATAATCGCGCTATGGAAGGCCGTGGACTGTATCTCGCCCCTTACACATACGGATGAGGAGCGAGGAAAAAAAAACGTTAAAAAAACGTTTAAAATGCCGAAAGATGTAACTACAAATGTGCAATTATTACAACTTGCAAAACGTATGCACATTCCATATTTTAAAGGTGTTTTCATGCGCAATAATTTACCGATAAATGGCGCGCGAGAAAATGAGAGCGGTATCGTCAATTTAGACAGCACAGACGGTCCTGGCACTCATTGGGTGGCAAATGCAAAAAGGAGAGATCGCGCAATCTATTTCGACAGTTTTGGCAATTTTCAACCACCCGAGGAATTGGCGCGATATTTAAATGTGCCGAAATTGGAATACAATCACACCTCTTATCAAACGTATGATCAGAGTATTTGCGGACAATTGTGCTTGCAGTTTCTCCGAGAGGTTGAATTTTAGTTCAACTTGACGTGAATTTAAAGACTGACATTGTGTTATTTAACTCAGTTTTGTCAACATGTCACTAACACTAACATTGACTGGGAAGAGTAGCGTCCTCGCGGCAAATTACTTTCCCTCCATAGATTTAAGCAACGCGGACTACGAGCTCGGTCTGGCGGACTTTGAAACTTATTACATTATATCGAATGTGAATTCCTCGAATAATAAATTTTACTACGGCAAAGACGAGGCGGAAATTACTATTCCCGAGGGATCGTACGAGTTGCAAGCGATACATGAATTTTTGAAACGCACACTTGCCCGGAAACATAATGCTGTTCGTGATAAAAGTGTCGACGATGAAGATTCCCCGATAGTGCTCCGCGCTAATTACAACACGATAAGAAGTGAGATTAAATGTGCCTACAGAATAAACTTTACGAGGGTCACTATTTATATTTCGGGAATTGGCAATACTGATGTCATGTGAGTCCATCTGACGGTTCCATCGTAAAGTTTGACATTTTTGACGATATACGTACTCAGAACATTTTGTCATACGGACGCTATTTGTTTATTTTATATTTAGTTGAAAGTTTCGTCTCGGCAAAAAATGGAACTGAATCGTGAACATTTTCGTGCGATGATTTTTTACGACTTTCGACGTGGATTATCACAACAAGAGTGCGTCAATCAACTTAATTTGACTTTTGGCGATGAAGCTCCATCAAAAACCACTGTGTATCGCTGGTATAGTGAATTCAATCGTGGTCGTAGTTCGCTGTCCGACGAGTTTCGTGAAAGTCGTCCAAAATCGACTGTAGTGCCAGAAAACATCGATGCTGTGCACGAAATGATTAAGCAAGATCGTCATGTAACCTATTGTGAGATTGAGGCATCCCTAAGCATTAGTTCCACCAGCATATATGCGATTTTACATGAACACTTAGCTGTGCGAAAGTTATGTTCGCGTTGGATCCCACATAATTTGACAATCGCTCAAAAAAAGGCTCGTGTCGATTGGTGCAAAGAAATGCTTAAGAAATACAATCGCGGTGCTTCAAAAGACGTTTATAAAATCGTTACAGATGATGAATCATGGATATATTCGTATGAGCCCGAAAGTAAGCAGCAGTCGACTGTATGGGTGTTCTAAGATGAACCAAATCCAACAAAAGTTGTTCGCGCACGAAGCATTTCAAAGAAAATGGTGGCCTGTTTCTTCGGAAAAACTGGTCATATTGTAACAGTGCCTCTAGAGGATCGTAGAACAGTAAATTCTGAGTGGTACACAACCATCTGTTTGCCAGAAATCTTCGGTGAAATAAGGAAAACAAACAAGAGACGTCGGATTGTTCTTCATCATGACAATGCGAGCTCTCACACATCGGCTCAAACAAGAGACTATTTGAGCATTTAAAACATCGAATTGATGGGTCATCCGCCGTACAGCCCTGATTTGGCACCCAATGATTTCTTTTTGTTCCCATCCGTGAAGAATAAACTGCGTGGTCAACAATTTTTATCGCCCGAAGAAGCTATTGAAGCGTCCAAAAATCATGTTTTGGAGATACCTCATTCGGAATGGAATAAATGCTTTGAAAATTGGTTTAAGCGCATGCAAAAGTGTATCGATCATCGTGGCGAGTACTTTAAAAAACAATAAAAATATATTCGCAGCTTAACTATTTGTTTTTGTTCCTATTCCCGAAATATAAATAGTGACCCTTGCATGCTCAACAACATTGGATCTCTGCTGGGATTCTCGAATCGTATACTGCAACCGCAAAAATGGTACGAATCGGACATGCCGATTAATATTATCAACGTGAACATTATCCGCATAGAGTGTAACGTGACTGCGGGTGCATACAACAATGGTAAACTCGTTCATATAATAAATGAATTTTCACCGAGGGTACCACCAGGATATAAGATATATCCTGGTGGTACCCTCGGTGGATATATGCTGGCGGAAACGCCGGCACAGATCATTTACCTGCCGGTCTTTGTACGGAGCATTACTGATTTAGTGTTACGCGTTGTCGACTAGGAGGGACGATTGCTCGATTTTCGAGGCGAAGAGATAACAGTTAGATTGCACGTTCGACGGCGATAACACCTCGTGTGACGGGATGCTTGTGTTGAATAAAGACACGAAGAACACAATCAGGCTAGCAGCAACATCATTTGCTAATATCAAATCAACCACGAAGAAGAGACTTACCTCGTCAAACGTTGCGTTTTTACAATCTTTGGAATTTGCGGTGCGTGCCATCTGAACAATGACGGAGATTCTCAACATCGAGGAAGAGCCAGTCTTTGACGATCGCATCGTCAAGATTGAGACTCACACATACAACTCGTTTGCCAACACAACATTTGGACACAGCGACGAGATAAGAATACCCATACAACAACAGGATTTGTATATGTTGCCGTATGAGAGTTTTCTTTACATTAAGGAGAATTGCGGATAAATCATCCAATTGACACAATGTGACACTGAGAAATAATTGCATCGCATTCATGTTTGACGAAATTCGATATGAACTCGATGGTGTGGAGATTGATTGCAACAGAAATGTAGAAATAATAAGTTTGCTCAAAAATTATGTAATGATATCATTCGATAGAAGCATGGTTATGAATAACGCCGGCTGAAGTAATCCGATTTCTGCGAGTGGATACTTCAATTTCTGCGTACCGTTCTACATGTTGCTGGGATTTTGTGATGACTACAAACGAGTAATGATTAATGCGCGTCACAAATTAATCTTAATACGATCGCGCAACGACAACAATTGTCTGTTTGGAAATTCGGCGTTAGAGCCTGTAATCAACTTATTTAAAATACAATAGCAAATGCCACATGTGTTGTTGAGCGAGATCAACAAGCTGTCGATGCTGCGCGCTCTGGAAAGCGGACGTTATCTCAGCATGGGTTTTCGCTCGTGGGATCTATACAAATTTCCGCTATTGCAGCGTACGACCAAGCATTCGTGGGCCATTAAGACCGCGACTCAACTGGAGAAGCCACGATATGTAATTTTTGCTCTGCAAACAGGCCGGAAAAATGTCATGTCCGAGGATATCAGTCGATTCGACGACTGTAAATTAATCAACGTGAAACTCTTTCTGAACTTGGACAGTTATCCGTACGACGACATGAATCTGAATTTTGATAAAAACAGATGGTCAATTCTGTACGACACCTACACACGTTTCTGCAAGAACTATTACGGATACGAATACCTCGAGCCCAATCTCACCGTCACACGGTTTTTACAAAACGGTCCATTCGTGATCTGTTCTCGACAAAACGAATCGGTCAAGAGCGCAACAGTGGATGTGAGATTAGAATTTGAGTGTAAGGAAAACGTGCCTAATAATATCACTGCGTACTGCCTCATTATACACGATCGTGTGATCCAATACAATCCATTGACCAACGTTGTGCGCAAAATCACCTAAAAATATTTACTCAAATACGCGTGTGAGAGAGGGGGGAAGGACACATAAGCAAGATGATGTAAGATGTCTGAAAAGTATCGTCATACCTCTCGACTGACTCACATCGAAGAGATCATGTCTGCACCAACGTTTGTCGACCTGCAAGGATTTATTCTAAATAAACGATTTATTGTGAAGGATAAGGCAATACTGAGAAGAGGATATATCCTGTCACACTATTTCTTTGCATGCCCTGTGCCATGGAGCGTGCTCATAAAATCGGAGAGGCGTCAAGCCTCGTGGTTAACTCAACATCATCATGGCTTACAATGAGAGGATGAAAATGTTCCATACAGCATGGCTCAGTGCTTGATTACGGTAGCTATTGTTGGCATAAATGAACAAGAAGACGATGAAGAAGAGTCCTCTCTCGTGTATGTAAAAGGACTCGAAAAACGAGAATGGCTGGGGGAAATAATGGATGAGGATCATGTGAGAAGCGGTTTCACCATTGAGACCTTAAATGCCATATATGAAGATGTGCCTGCATTAAATAAGTTAGATCCCACATATACTCTACGGTTTAATAAACATGTAAAAAATTGCGCGTTACAAAATGTATTGGCTCTTTAGTCGAGATGAATAAGGTGGTTTAAAAATTGGAGAGCTGACTTAAAAATATTCTTATTATTATAAAATGTATTTAAATTATTTAATTGGTAGTCGGCCAATCGCGACGATTATCCGTTTTTTGAATAAACATATTGTTTACATACTATTCTCTTTGTTCTTTCTCTCACAAGATCGTATTTCTAAGAATTATTTTTACCCCTTCTCCTAATATTTTAAAAATGAGCGTTACTCGATTATTAGTACCTTTATACGATCAGTCTTTCGTCGACTGTTTTGACTGGTGGTTCACTTTTTTAATACCCTCGAAATGTTCTGCATCGAAAGAAGCAGCATGAATTATTACATGCCGAGACGTAATGAAACGTGTGAGAAGAAATGCGACGAGTAAGTATAAATTTTTTTTCTATTTTGTATTTATACTTTTATTTTTTTTTATATTTTTTATATTTTATATTTTTTATATTTTATATTTTTTATATTTTATATTTTTTTATATTTTTATATTTTTGTACAAGTTATAATTTCTTTTTTCTAATTTAGTTATAATTTCTTTTTTCTAATTTAGTTATAATTTCTCTTTTCTAATTTTACAGCGTTTTGCTGGAGCCTCGTGCGGTTCGTATACTAGGAAGACGATACGCATTGACAGCCACGGAATTCAAATTCCTTGAAATTGGCATCAGAATGAATCCACCGAGTTACGTGGAAATCGCCATAGGAGATAATCGGTGAAAACAGCTAATACTATCTATTGAAACGTGGAAAGGACTCTACGAGCAACGTCACGCTATTCAAAATTATCTGAACAATGACTCCCCCAACAACGATGTGTATAATTTCATAAGTGTCGGGCCGCTAACAGTGCGATTTCACAAAATAAACGACACCAAACTCATAAGTCTTGAATCAGCGGACGTGCGCATGATGATGGTCGAATCGACATTACACCGAATGTTCAAGCTCGATCCATGCATCGAGCTAACGTTTGATCGATTGACGAGACTAACTGCAACAGTAGACATCAAGTTTACGAAATTCTTCAATATTGCATCCGCTATAACGGATGCTAGAGAATTGCCAAATGCGATACGCGCTAGCGACGCCTTCAACAAACATCAACTCGTCGATTGCGAGTTAGTAGAGTTAGTCTTTTAATTTGTAAGAAAAATTTATATATAATTATGTATTAAATATAAGAGGAATAAATACTTATATGTCTATATCATGATGTACTTTTTCACATCCGCGCGCACTCTCCCAGCTTTCATGCATAGCTCCTTACTAGAGTTATCATGCAAGAATGCTATGCTAAGGATTGCGAGAGAGCAATTACTAGAAAAGAGACAGCGCGAGGCGCACGCAAGGCGCATGCGAGAGAAGACGGGCCATGCCTGGATTCGGCGGCAGCGAGAGAGAAGATGGGCCGCAGCGGCGGCAGCGCGAGAGAGAAGACGCGAGCGCGAGAAAGAATACGGGCCGCAGCGAGAGGCGCACGCGAGAGAGAGACGGCAAAATAAGACGCAGCGTGAGATAATGCAAGACGCATGCAATAGGTAACGCGGGGCGTGCATAGGAGAGCGCAAAGAGAGGGAAAGAGGAGCGACAAGATGATGCGAGAGAAAAGACGCGAGATGTTTATCTCAGAGAGCTTTTAAAATAATTTATAATAATTTTTAATAATTTCTTTATATATTTACTTATTGACTTATAATTTAAAAGGGAACAAGAGGTAAGGAGGACATTTTAATCTAAAATAAATACACTTATTTGATAATAATATTTTTTAATCTATAAAATATGTGTAAATTTACCAAAAATTTGTGTGTGTATGTAATTAATATATATTTAAAAAATGTATAAAATTTAAAAATAAAAAATGTATAAAATTAAAAATATATAAGTATAAAAATTTAAATATATAATGTTAAAAAAAAATATAAAAATAAAATAAAAAATAAAACACTTAATTTAAAAACGAGCTGTGAGGCGGGCCACAGTGGCGACGGCGGCGACGGTGGAGAGGACTGCAGCGGCGGCGGGCCCGATGGGAAGAGCGGCGGTGGTAACGGCAGTGGATCTGTATACAGAAAAATAATTTTTTTTCAAGTATTAAATTTTTAACAAATTATTTTAAAATACTTACCGTTCCAATTTTTCATCTCAGGTTCAGGTAGATATAAGTCCAACCCGAAAAGCTCCCAAAAATGGAAAATATTTTGCTGCAGTTGGTTGACGTTTTCCCGTATGCGAGCGTTCTCCATGTCGCCCCACATCTCGTCAAAGAGCCGCCGCTCCTTTCTCCTCACCATCTGCACCCATTCCCGGTCCGTCAGATGTTCATCTATTGATATTTCAACTTGTCCGAACAATTCGATCAAGTTGAACGCGTTCCTCCGGATCTCTGGCCAGTGCTCCTCCAAATCACGGAGCACCTCCGTGTCACCCCAGAGATAGTCGAGGTACTCGCGCCACTCCGCCTTCTCCAGCCACACCCTCTCTGGCCCTGTTGTCTTCTCTTCTACCGGAGAATCCACCCGTTCAATGATCGGTTCTTCGGTAGTTATCAAATCCTCAATCATCCGACAGCAACAGATAATGAACAAGAAAAACTAAAAAAAGTAAACATTAACATATTTTTCTCCACTATTCATTAATATTTTCACTTAAAAAAAAGGCACTACCATTTTGGCTGCAATTGTCACGTATCCTCTAGTAATTTTTGTTCGCAAACTGCACGACACTTCTTTGATAAACGTTTGAACCTTTATGATGACCTTTTTGCAGAGACAGACCCGCTCTCCACAGGCTGTACCCCACTTAAAAAATCTTCACAAAGGACTATAAAATCACCAGGCGCTATCTATTTCAAAAAACAAACCAAGTGCCGAATGTTTACATCTCGCGTTCGAGAGAGCCGGCGCGACGAGAGACAGGCCCACGTGGAGAGGCGCGCGCTCTCCCATGCATTTGCGAGAGAAAGAAGAGATGCTGATGCAGAGAATGATTTTTATATTTTAATTTATTTTTTTAATTACTTTTTATATGCTTGTGGGGTGTCGCAAGGGATGGGAAAACGACAAGATTTAATTGTACATTATTTTTATATAAAAAATATAGTTTATTATAAATTTTGTGTGTATATTTATAAAACGTGTTTGTGTGTGTGCGTGCGTGCGTGCGTGCGTGCGTGCGTGAATGTGTAATTATTATAATATAAAATTTATAAAATTGTATAAATTAAAAATTATAAAAATGTATAAAATAAAAATTTATATAAAATGTATAAAAATTTATAAAATAAATTATTTGTGATGACTTCCATCTCGTTCTCAGAAACGTTGTCAGAAACGTCGACCACAATGATGTCTTTATCCATAGGAATTGGACACATGTTTCCACAATTTCAGAACACGAAATAAGTTCTTACTTCCGCACTTACATAAAACAGTACAGAAAAATAAACTTTTCGCGGACCGGTCAGTGTGCTGTCAAATCTTGGACTATGATTTGAGAACGCATAGGTCTTTATTATATATCCCGTTCAGCCCTTTGTGCTTCACGTGCGATCGAACTTATTTCAGAAAGAAATATGATCGGTTATAAAAGAGCAGCCGCGGCAGCAGCCGATTATCGTTTTGTTTACACCTCACGAAAATATGTCTCGACACATTCACTACAATCCTGTCTTCCACGCGTGATAAAACTTATCTTATATACACTAATATACTCTTCGCATATGTTCCGCTTTCACTTTTCTAATTGACATTAATGGTAATCATTGGGATTATCGAGTTCTGTTATGTGTTGTTTCTATAGCTTTCGCCAATGAACCATTTTACATGGAAAATCATATAAAGTATTCGCAAAGAGACTTCTGTACAGCTCTTTCGTGTTACGTTTTTTGAAACCTATTTCACGCGCATATATTGCCTGCACGATTGAGTTTACATGAGTTTTGCTTGTAAGCGCGGGCATACTGGTATCTTTGCTTAGGCATATTTTGCGTACCACTTTTCTTTTTTCTTCAAGTTCGGCGATGCGAGCTTTTCGTGATTTTTCATAAAAGAGAAATAATTTTTTAGATCTTAAATTCCTATGATATCTATCTGGTGGTGGATATTGGTCTTCCAAAATGTCGATACATTTATCACAGTCTTTCAACCAATCGTAATAGGAATATTTACTTTCTTTCTCCCACTTTTTAACCCTTTTCTTTCTATACACTGCACTATCAGTTTTTTCCATTTCAACGGGACACTTGGACACATTTTTTTCCATTAGATTGGCATTGACTATTACACCAACTTTCAATAATTCGAATGGCATCTCATGCAACGGCACCCCCTCGCGACAACTCGTTGGCTGCATATTTATTGTCTGTAACTTTTCACACTTATTACACTTGTGGTCACTAACCTCAGCCTATTTTCGCTGACATTCGCTGCAATCCCTAATCATCGGTGCTGGACCGTCAATGTGCGTTTGCATTCACGGTCAATTGTAATGCTCGAGACAGCGACGATATGTCTGAACCTCCGGATCCGCCTTGATGTGCTCCGGAAGCTTGTCCCACAAACGTTCTACGAAATAGCCGCACTTTTACAGTAAAACAATCTTTGGAATATATTGCAGTTATTCAGCACTTAAACTGAGAATGTCGGAAGCACTTGATAGCATGACAAACATTTTGCACACCGAATGAGGAAAGCATGCGCTCTCGTGGTCACCGTACTTTGATTTGACCTGGCAGCATCAAGGTCCTCATTATATATCCCGTTCAACTCTTTGTTCGTTAACGTGTGAACGATTATTTAACTTCCCGGTATGCGTATCTCCCCGGTGATAATTCGTAGAAATTTTTTCTAGGAAAAGTTTAGATAAAATAGTAATTAATATTTATATGATTAATATTTATATGATTATAAAGCAACCGCAGATTTTCGGCGCTTGTTTTGTTTATAAATTCCTGCAGCCGCTGGTTATCGGCGCTGGTATTTCTTCCTAAAATAAACAATGAAGAACCGCCGCTTATGGGGGAGGGGGGTACCGCGAGGGCGAAATGCAATTCCCCGCAAAAACATGTCTCGACGCGTTCGCCGCAGATAATTGATATATGATTGTAATAGATATCGTTGTATTAGATATTTGTTTATCTTATTTTGTTTATGTAATAGATATCTTACAAAGATGCCGCTTATCTTATCTTGTAATAGATATCGCTGTAATAGATATATATTTATTTTTTGTTTATAAACATATCAGGTAACATGATCCGATAATCCTCTCTTATCTGCTGATAAGATTTCCCGCCCACGTGACGTCATACCCTCTCGCCTCTGAAAACCGCCCCGCACCCCCCTCAGAGGACTCGAGTTAGGACCCCCATAGTATACCTATTGGTCTCTCTCGCTTTCGCGCGCAAAGCAGCTATCGAGCACGTGTAAGCACGCAGAGCGTGGGGCAAAGACCACCCCGCAGCCGCGCGCTGTCGGGTACAGGTAGACAAAAAATGCAGTAACTGATTATCAAACAACGATTGGTTGTGTGCCTCGGGTCGGGCACAAAGGGTCACGCCAAATTAGGATGAGGGTCCGGGGCGTCAGGGCTTGGATCGGGGTTATTGTATTAATTTACTTCACGTTTTTACTATTAAAGAGCTTTTATTTGAACTAAAACACTTGACGTTATCTTTATTTTCACAATATTACACTTTCTAGTTACTTAACTAGTTGAGCAATAGCGATTACGTATGACTTCGCGAATTGCGCGCGCGACTGCGATAAGATGTTATAGATCGTACGCGGTTAGCGTGGTTACTTTTAATTAGCAACTTGTGAGCGACTGTCGGGCGCGTCTCCTGCTCGGTTTATATAGTATCGCTTTTTGGAGGTTCCTTGATCGGAAGGGGTATTTGGCAACGGGCCTTCTCGGTCAAGAACCTAGGTGCAAGTGAAGTAAATTCAAAGATTTTTCCGCTTCGCTTGCACTTTTGCGCAATTTCGGTTTCGCGTGCAGCGTTTGCGTTTTTCGCGCAATCAGCATCCGTCGTCAGGCGGATGTAGTATGAGTAATTATATCTTATTAGTAATATTCCTTAGGGATATAACATTTCTCCCCCGTTAAAGAAGAAAAACGAAGATACGTAGTTTTTTGCTTAATACTAAGGTTTACAAAAATTTTATTCTCGT